AGACCATACACCACAAGTGACGACGGCCTCCACAAATGTAAATGTTTTCTGCCAATGAAATGATTAGCCTGTTGCAGTTGTATTCTATCAGTTGTCACTAATTACAACTATCATTTACCAAAAATCAGCTATCACTATGAACCACTACTAACCAGATTTACTTGGAGGCCGTCGTCACTTGTGGTGTATGGTCTGCACCCGACGCTCTTCTCGTTTTTGAAGGGAGGGTACCTGTGAGGACACCTCTTGGTTTCCTCCAGTACCAGTGCGCTTATCGTTGTGAGCAAAATCAATAAGAAGGTCGTCAAATGGATTGAAATGCTACAGATTGAATGAATAGTTGTAATCAGGTAGAACGGAGATTTTGCGACCTTCCTTCAGAGTTCCACGACCTCCCTCTCCTTTGTTCTATGATGGTCTTGACACAACTTAGCAATCACCATAATTGATTTTGAGACCAAATGGCATACTTCGAAACTCCATCACCCGAAATTTCCTACAAAATAGCGCTCGAACGGAGGATGGTGTAAAGGTTGCAACATCGAGTGCCCTGATTCATCCAATCCATCAAACCGTAACATGCATAGAAACCCTCAAAATCTTCATCTCAACCACAGCGCGACCCCTTCAAATTCCACCATTTCGACCTCTTATGAGGGTTAAATTGATAGTCTTCCTAAAGTGTAAAGACACCAAATCTGCAAATTGGGATTGGCCAAACGTACATACGGGTAATGTGAGTCCATGGATAAAGAGGGTGTGTAGGAGCGTTCAATAATGGAGGTGGAGATGACAAGTGGTCTAAAAAGAAAAAGAAACCAACGCAAAACAAACCCCAGGTACGCTCCGAATAAGGTCCCCTATTGTCAACAGCATTTGACAATGGGGTGGAGGAGGGTGCGTTCGGACGAGTTTCACGAACGGCTTGCTCCAACTGCTCCAGCGCCAGTAACATTGACCGCCATGTTATTGGCAAGTATCCGAAAGCTGCCGCAACCGCGCCCGCGCCCCTTTTGCAGCGCTAGCGTGGCTGCAACAGAGGAAG